ATTGCTGTTGTTGTCATCAGCGTAAAATGTGTTAATGTCTTGATGACATTAAATAGATGTTCCTCTGTACACATTATGTTATGAAAGTTAAGGCCAAAAAAACTTTAGAAATTAGGACGATAACGATGATCATCGTCATCGTTATCATCATCATCGCTATTATTATTATTATTATTATTATTATTATTATTATTATTATTATTATTATTATTATTATTATTATTATTAACATTAACTTATATATATATATTTTTATCATTGTATGTTTTTTAGGGTGAAAAATAAAAGATGCTCCCATTATTATTATTTATCATCTTCATCATCACTACCATCATCATTCACTTAGGTCCAATCATCGTCAACGTCATCTCTACCATCACATCGTATTCGTCATCGTCGTCATCCTGGCAAATTCCGAAAATGAATTTTTCTGCAGGGGTCCAGGCTATCACGTGACTCTGTTACTGCTCACGTGACTTGTTTTTTTTTCAGGTATTATTTTTTTAGCATTTTTGATCACATTTTTAGATATTTTTTTTTGTTTTTTCAACTATTTTTTCCAAACTTTAGTAATTTAGTTGGAGGAAATTAGAATAAAAAAAGAAATTAAAAATTTTTTTGACTGGCACGCTTATTATATTTCTCATTATACTTCTTCTTCGTATTATCATTTATATTATTACTATAACTAAGACTAACAATTGACAATGTTTTGACAATGATGTTACCAGTGGTGATAATAACTGTGATGACTACGATGACGACGATGATGCTACAGACGATGATGATAATTAAAAACATTTGGTTTTTAATTTTCAAATTTTCAATCGCTAAGCTCCTTTTGAAATGTTCCGTCCGAAAATTTCATTTGAAATGATTAATGGAACAAAGAGCAGCATCCACAACAACAAACAAACACACAACAACCAACCACAACCAACCACAACCTACCACAACCAACCACAACCAACCACAACCAACTACAACCTACCACAACCAACCACAACCAACCACAACCTACCACAAACCTCTATTAACATGAGAAGCCGCGAGTGCCGCCGACGACAAATAAGCAGCCTGGCTATTGGCCGCATTGATAATTTCCTTGTTGCTAACGTCGTAAAACCACTTATTATCTGCGGCCGCGTTCCCGCCGATTAGTTGCTGCGGTCGCAAGTAGCAGAAATTTAGTAGGAAGAGTGAGAGAAAGACCAGAAAGCTGAAAGTTCCAAACATTAGGAACATTGCAAGAGTACCTAGAATGTAAGTGTACGTGTTTGTTTGTTTGTGTGTGTGTGTGTGTTTATGTGTGCAAGTAAATGAATGAATTCATGAATTAATGAATGAATTAATGATTTGATAAATGTATGTTTTTGATTGAGTGATATCAAGATGAAAAACAAATGAATGAAATAAAAAACCTTAAGAGAATGAAAAGTTTTTGCAGAATGTAACAGCCAGAATGAAAAAAAAATAGATAGATAAAATTCAGTGCTGGACTATGTTGAACATTTTACGGTAGCGAAAGTAAAAACCATTCAAAGATAAAAAAAAACTTAAAAGAATTTTCTAAGTGAAGATGCGTGAGGAGGACGTAGAGTGAACAGACGCTGAGAAAATTAAAAAAATATGAAAGAATGTAAGAAAGTGAAAATGGATGAATGAATGAAGGAAGGAAAGAATGAATAAATAAATAAATGCATGAACGATCGATCGAACGAATGAGTGAATAAATAAATGACTGAATGAATGTATGAGCGAATAAACGAATGAATGAAACTAAACAAACACGCGCACGCACACACACACACACAAACGTACATGACATACGAACACGCACACGTACATGCACGCACAAAGAAACACACGCACACACAAAGTTTTTCCTAATTTTCTCCGAATAAATTTTACTTCCGCAACATTTCCCTCGTGCACTAATCCAACTATTTATGCTAGACGCATTAAGGTTTTTTCATGTTGAATTGAAATTATTAAAAATATATTTTCTTGAATTATTCGTAAAACTACTACTACTACTATTAATACTACTACTGCTGCTGCTGCTGCTGCTGCTACTGCTGCTACCACTGCTGCTACCATCAGCTTCTTATAACACTAACGCAATAAACAATCATTAAATAGAATTAAAATTCAACGAACGTCTGCCAAATTTGATTAAATTTTTCAATTTTTGTAACTGCTTCTACACCAGCCACGACTATTACTACAGAATGTGGTAGCATTTGTTAAGAAGAATCTGTTGCAATTACTGCTAAGGGCAATGGAAATGTTAGTGTTAAGTAACAATGATACTTGGCTATAAATGTACCTTTCAAAAGAACGCTGCTTACATGTACCGCGTCATAATCTGATAAGTGGTTTTGTCCACTATTACTGTGGCTACTGTTGCTACTACTGCTACCTTTGCTACTGCTTATCTGCTATCTTATACGCCAGTATTAGTACTATTACTTCCAAAACCAATTACCACTCGTTCAATTTCAATAATGCCTCGGCTTACAACATGTCATGTGCGGTTCATATCTGGCTGAATGTAAATCTCGCCGCCATCGTTCTCAAAGTAAATTGAATTCAACTCTAACCTTAAAAGGGGAGGAAAACGTATTGATCGCTGAAAACATTTAAAGTATTTGATAGCAGTATTTGTAGTACTACAGTTATGGTAGTAATTGAGTGGTAGCGCTAGCAGTAGCTGTAGTAGCAGCAGCAGCAACAGCAGTAGTAGTAGTAGTAACGTTTGGAGCGTTGATAATGCCGTTTTGGTGCCATCAGTTATTGAAATAAAAATTAAAAGTGCTTAACCGAAACTAAATCAAGATCAGAATAAATAAGGATAACGAGCATAATTTACATGGAGCAAGATCGATTTTTTTCAAAGCAACTCAAATGAAAAACTTCTTTCACTAAAAGTAACAAGAGAAAAAAAATGAAGAGAAAGAATAGTGAGAATGAGAATGAAAAAAGGAATAAAGAGAGAGAGAGAAAGTGAGTGAGTGAGAGAGAGAGAGAGAGAGAGAGCCTCTACCAACCATATTGGTCAATCAGTAGACCGCCTACTAACGCCCCAAGACCGATACCCAGCCCTCCATAGCAAGTGTTAACGATGAGATGACCTGTCGGTTTCAAGTCGGGAGGTAAAGCCTGGCATACGTATGAACAACCAGCCACGTGTAATCCGGATTGAGTTAATCCTGTGCGTGTGTGTTTGTGTGTGTGTGTGCATGTGTGCGAGTCTGTGTATGCGCGAGTATTCCGGGTATGTGTGTGTATTTTTATTCATGATGCTTTTTAGGATTCCGTTTGAATTTTTATGAAAATGCCGGGGAGTTATTTCGTACGTGCGTCTGAATTGTTGGATTTTTTGTCTACAACTGAAAATCATTTTTTTTTAATTCAATTTTTTATTCATTTCCTAATTATACCTCAACTCTTAACTCAGGTAAAACATACAAATAAAAAACATTACAAAAACAACGAAAGAAACCAAATTTTACTATCTTACTTAATTAAAAATCGCGTTTCTGCGTATAAAGATTATACGACCATTCTTACATAATTTGTCTTAAGGGAGCTTATTTAAGCGAGAAATTCACGCCAAGGTGCCAAGCAAGAAATATTTTTAGCTCTCTAGCAAGTTAATGTCATGTAATGTTATGTGATCTGATTATAATGTCATAGAATTTTGGTTTGATAAGTTTATGGATGGGTCTGGCTAAATATAGAATGATGTTTTGTAACGAGTTATGATGTGATTTGATGTGTTAGAGTGTTGTAAAAGAAAAATTTTATTATTAAGCAGAGTGAAATTTTCAATTTTCTATTTCTCAGGACGTAGATAAAAGAATGAATCATTCATGATTGATGTTCACGCTGTAATACATGCGATATAACTATTCAACACCCTGACATACACTTCTGATTGGGGATTTTGAGATTTGGAAAAAAAATTGTTTTTTTGTTTTTATTTTTTTTTTGTTTTTTTTTGTTTTGTGAAGTTGTCCTTAATGATGTTGTTGACAACAAACTCAACATTTATTTCAGTCATTGCTACTACTAATGCAACAATGTCGTTGTTGCTATTTATCGAGAACTACGTTAATTATCGCAAAAATCTTTATCGAAATATTGTTCTCGGTAAAAAAAAAAAACAAAAAAAAAAAAAACAAATACTTGAAATAAAAATTTATTGTTATCAAAAAATGAAAAAAAATTGTAAAATTGAAAAAATAATGTAAACCTTGAAAGAATTCCACGGGTAGGATCCACCAAGGGTTAGTGAGGTATGAGATGTAGATGAACCTGCAACCAGCACATATCAGGCCGGTGTATATCAGTTTCATGTGCCCTTCATTTGAAAATGAATCTTTTAAAAAAGGTAGAACAATAGAAACATTTTCATTGATCTAATGAATTTAAACTTGCGTAATAAAAAAAGTAAATAAAACCTCTTCCTTTGAAAAACTCACCGAACTGAATGACAGCACTTCTGGAGAAGAGGTAAGCAGTCAGACAGGACAACTGCCCAAACACAAACGTCAATCCAAAAAGCGTAAAGTTCCCTTTCAACTCCAAAAGGTACCAGAAAAGAAATGAGATGGACACACCTGTACTCACTCCAGAGAACCAGATTGCAAATAGGACGAAACTGTAGCGAGCTGGCATTATGGCATTTAGTGCGTTCACCCAGTGTCTGAATGTTGAAAATGCAGGGTAACCTCGCGGAATGTAAAACCAAGGAATGGATAGAACGAAGTCGGATATATCGTTAAATCCGTCCGGACCGTATATGCTGGCGGTACTCAATCTCTGGTTCCTCATTGCGTTCTGCTCGTTTAAGAAAGACTTTTCGTTTAGATAATTTGACCTCGTGCTTATTATGGATTGGTGACGGGCAGATTTCAAATCGTTGTTTATTCTATTTGGATCCAAGTTGGTTTGTTGGGAGGTTCGGTGGTTATCGTCCATGTTATTACTCTGATTCATTCGACCCTTGGACGCCAAGCCGCTGTAACCCATTGGACCGCCTTCGATCTCATCAGTTCCACCAAATTCTCCCGATCTTGTTTCTTTCGTCTTGTTATCGTTTCTTTCACTTTATCAACAGCTCTGTCTTTCATCTCGCTCAGAGCAAGGTTTCCAGATCCAGAAAAGAACGGAAATGAAGATTGCCTCATCCCATCTTCTTCGCTTTCAAACTGCAGTTTGAACGCTGCCAGCACTGAACAACATGCCAAAATTGTGAATGAAATAAAACAAGCAGAAAAATCTCGATCGGGAATAGGGTCAGTGCCTCCGCAGTGTATCTCGGCACTTCGATCCAATCCGACTCCGAGGAAAAATACGACAATAGTTGAACCGATTGTACCGAATATTCTCTGCCGTCCAAATATTTCAGCATCGTTGCCAGATGCCAGAAGAGCCGCGTAATCCGATAAAATAGCGACCGGTGCGCTAAAAAATTCTCCCATTATCAGTAAAAACAACGTGAGCAGGAAGGAGTTCCTAATGTCGGTATCTCGGTAGGCGAGGATCGATTGCACCGGGGTGTAAAATTCAACCGGTAAGTAGTATTGTGACGATGGTGACAGGTCGGAGATGTAACTTGGGGGCTGGGCGTATCTTAATCCAATTTTAAGCGGTGAAAATCCCGGCATAAATTGCCCGAAATTAGGAACTTGTTTGAAACGATAAAAATTCATCGTCGGTATGTCACTGTCAGCTTCAATGTGTTCTTGAGCATAAATGTACAAAGATGTTGTTGAAATGGTAGGGTAGTAGATTGTAGTCAATATTTTATAGTTTTTCGTTTTTTGTTTGGTCGCCAAGTAAACAGGCAGCGGCATGAATTGTTTCAAAATAGTTGTTGTTGTTGTGGTGGTGGTAGTTGTGGTGGTGGTGGTGGTGGGTGTTGTTGCTCGAAAGAACGCATGTGGTGTTATTACTTTGGGAGCCTCTTGGTACCTAAGCGAGGCCGGCGTGGTTTTCTGGTGATAAAAGGTGTAGGGCTCGTTGTAATATTGTTCAATACTCGTCTCTACGTCATCCGGGTTTGGAACTTCACTTTCTTCTTCATTCACTTCTCCATTCACTTCCACGTTAACTCCAAATCGTACAGTTTCGGTTTCCTCTTCATCTGGAATGGAATCGTCGTTGTCTTCATAATCCAGGTTATCGTACACTAGTAAAACTGATGGCGTTGTTGTCGTTGTCGGGGGGGGAGTGGTTGTTGTTCTTTTAGTTTTCTTTTTTTTCGATTTTTTAGTTGTTGTGGTGGTGGTAGTTGTGGTCGTTGCGATCGTTGGCGGAATATAAACTGGTACGAACGCCCTACCATTTGATCTTTTTACCAACGACTTCAAACGTTTTTGCAGCTCTCGTTGTTGCTGGGCTCTCTGCTGCAGCAACAACTCTCTCATCAGATCATCGTTTCGTTGTGTTTGTTGGCGTTGCTTTCTTGCCTGTTGCAGTTTGTAAACTTCGTAACTTACAGAGTTGAAATAACTTGGTCTATTATATTTGTCATCTAATAGTTCGTCCTCATATTGTAGCAGATTGCGCCAATGCTTGAGCTGGTTTTGTTCCTTCTGGTTATTCACTTGAAGTCCTTTCATAATATCGAGGTTCTCAATCGAGTATCCTACATTTTGATTCCGAATACGGTTTTTTAATTTATTGCTTAATTTTACAAATTCTGTTCCACCGTCTCCTTCAACTTTTTTATTCAAAAGTTTAGCTACGTTGTTATCATCAGCTGATCTTTTGACGACTCGCCTGACATCCGCGTACGGTAGACTCACGTATGCCTCCTCCTTGTCTGGCGTGTCAACGGCATACAAATAGGGCCAGGTTCCATTGTGGACGATGCAGGAGTCAACGTGCGGCGAGGCGAGCGGCAAACAGACGGTGCAAATTATCCAACCAAGCAAGCTGATGAGAAAAATGCACTTCCAAATCTTCCAGCGATCCACCGTTCTGTTCCAAAGTTGAATGAATATCAACTGAGCGAGTGCTCGAAGACCCAGCAGAACTCCAGTTTTCGTTGGAGACATGCCCATCTGCTTGAAGTAGAGGGCCAAAAATGGATTCAAAGAAGAAAGTGCGGCTTCGTTGAGGGCGAAAAATATTTTGCAGGCCGACGTGTCGCTCGTCACTTGTCGCAAAAAATTCTGCATTTTCTCCAACATTCTCGCTTTTTTATTTGCGGTGTCCGCTATCGAGAGGATGGTGAAATTATTGTTGTTGTTGATATTGCTGGTTTTGATGACGTTCGTGCTGTTGGCTGTTTTGTAATCGTTCTGCTGTTGCTGGGTGTGGTCGTGTTTAACGTTGTTGGCCTGGTGGCGGGGACTGTAGTAGTCGTTGGTTTGTGGCGGCTGCTGCTTCGACTGTTGATTCTGTGGGTGTTTGTTGTAGTTGTAGGGAGCGTAGGTTGGGAATTTTTCATCGAAGCTGTCTTCGCCGTAACCATATTCATCACTCTTGGCAGATTCATTATCTTCATTGTAGTTGGCCACGTTGTAGTCGAAGTCGTCGTCGTTGCGACGGTAGTGGCTGTTGTAGTTGTAGCGAGACATTTCGAATTCAACCGAAGAAATTTTTTGATAATTAATTTTTTCAAAGTGTACAATGTAGTAAAAATTTTGATTCTGAAATTCGATTCCTGAAATTAAAAATCACATCACCCCATCGTTCTTATGTTTGAAAAAAAAATTTTAATGGGCAGATTTTTTGATTGATTGTAACGATCAGAAAATAGATTTCATCTTTGATGACGACGATCTAAGCAAATATTTGACAAACAATTGAAAGCAATTTGAAAATTAACGCCAAAAATACTTAACAACAAGTTAATTAATTAATTATCCAATCAATTAACTAACCAATTAATTAAATTATTCTCATTTTAAATAAAAAATATTTTTGAAGACACATCGACGACAATGAAATAAATATTTATACATTGACAATACAGCTAAACTCCAGTGCTACATGAGAGAGAACGTCGCGAAACTGCTACTGTTGCCAGCAGAAACACGCATTCTTATTATTCCATATACATTGTAAACATCTATAGACACACACATAACACATACATGCACGCACGCACGCACGCACGCACGCATACACAAACACACACACATACAAATATATGTATATGTATGAGTTGTGTTGTGTCATTTGCATCGCATGAATGATGAATCGAAAATTTTTGACACTTTTTAACACCCACATTTCGGCTGGCCCGAGATTATGAATGATTTTTTTCTGGGACCCTTCGTATACCCCTATGTATATATTATCATGTGTGGGTGTGGTGTGTGGGTGTGGTGTGTGTGTGTGTGTGAGAGAGAGAGAGAGAGAATAAGAGTTAGAGAGCAATAGGAAAAAATAGGGAATGGGAATTTTCGGGAAGGTTGTCATGAATGGGAATTCAAGAGAGAATCGGGAATGAGAAAAAATTGGAGTGAAGAACAAATTTCAATTCCCGCTCACTTCTAGTTAGTAGTAAAAGTTTACCAGTAATTAACTAAAACTAGCTAAATAGGATGAGTAGCTATTGTTAAGGAGCTTCCACTTTGTTTTTGTTTCTTAAAAGATGAATGATCTGGGAGTTTCTTGTGGTTTTTGTGTGACAATTTTTAGTTGAGCCATCGTTTGTTAGAGTTGTGTTTGCTCGGTGTTTGTTGTTGTTGTTGTTTTGTGTTTGCTGGACATTGCGTTATTTATTATTTCAAACTTGGCCTTATAGTCTTCATCAGCGTTATTCATTTTTAGGCGTTCATTCATTCATTCCTTCCTTCATTTATTTATTCATTCATTCGTTCATTCTTTTATTCATTTACTCGTTTATTTCTTTCTCTTTACGCATACACAAACACACACACATACAAATATATGTATATGTATGAGTTGTGTTGTGTCATTTGCATCGCATGAATGATGAATCGAAAATTTTTGACACTTTTTAACACCCACATTTCGGCTGGCCCGAGATTATGAATGATTTTTTTCTGGGACCCTTCGTATACCCCTATGTATATATTATCATGTGTGGGTGTGGGTGTGGTGTGTGTGTGTGTGTGAGAGAGAGAGAGAGAGAGAATAAGAGTTAGAGAGCAATAATCTAACATACCTAGTGAATTTTCACTTAATGTATAAGTCTCACTTTAAGTTCTTTCCTAAGTACTTATCAGATATATTAATTAAACCTAAACGCTTCGGCTTACGATCGTCTTCTTGTTCTCACTCTTTGTTAACTCGTGTTAAACACTCCTTTGCTAAATCTGCATTTGTTTTTTCTGGCCCTTCTCTCTGGAACTCTCTACCTTCTTCTCTGACTACTTCTCCATCACTTACGAAGTTCAGAGCGGATTTCAAGAATAGAAGTGAGCATGGGAACCAAAATTGCGGGAATCCCACGGTTCTCTATATAACCCTATATGACTCTATATAACTATATATATACCTCTATATAACTATATGTATATATATATATATAACTCAATACAACTTTATATAATCCTATATAACTCTATGGGAATCGTGATGGAATGGGAGGGAAAACGTGGAATGAGTTAAAAAATAGGGAATGGGAATTTTCGGGAAGGTTGTCATGAATGGGAATTCAAGAGAGAATCGGGAATGAGAAAAAATTGGAGTGAAGAACAAATTTCAATTCCCGCTCACTTCTAGTTAGTAGTAAAAGTTTACCAGTAATTAACTAAAACTAGCTAAATAGGATGAGTAGCTATTGTTAAGGAGCTTCCACTTTGTTTTTGTTTCTTAAAAGATGAATGATCTGGGAGTTTCTTGTTGTTTTTGTGTGACAATTTTTAGTTGAGCCATCGTTTGTTAGAGTTGTGTTTGCTCGGTGTTTGTTGTTGTTGTTGTTTTGTGTTTGCTGGACATTGCGTTATTTATTATTTCAAACTTGGCCTTATAGTCTTCATCAGCGTTATTCATTTTTAGGCGTTCATTCATTCATTCCTTCCTTCATTTATTTATTCATTCATTCGTTCATTCTTTTATTCATTTACTCGTTTATTTCTTTCTCTTTTTTTACTCTTCGTTTGCTCTATTGATTTATGTTTAGTTGCAAATTTTTTCCAGAGATTTATTGATACGTTTATTTCTGGCTAGAACATTATTTGTTTGTTGGATTTTTTTATTTGCCCTTCTATACTTATAACTGTCACACGTAAACACACGCACACACGCACACACACACGCCCATAATAATATTTTATAGGTATGTAACGATATCGAGAAATCCCCTCAGGATGTATACAGCAGATGGTAATTTGAAACTTTTACATTTTTTTTTTCGAAAAACTCAAAAATTTTCGGCAGTAATGGTCGTCATCCTCATCTTTTCATCAACATCATCATCTCTGTTGTTGCCATTATCATCTCATCATGATCCTCCTTTTTTCTTTTTGTTTGTCTGTCTGTATTTGTCTTTGTCTTTCTCTCTCTTTCTCTCTCTCTTTCTCTCTCTCTCTCCTCTCTCTCTCTCTCTCTAGTTCGCATTATCTTCTGATTAGGAACTTGATTTAGGAAGGTAGTCTTGTACGGTTGGCCATCAGCCGGGCTTTTGGTTTTCAGTTTGACTATTAGTTGGATGGAGTACACATGTACGTACTAGGTAAGTACGTAAGTATTCATGTACTGAATGAAAAGAATTTGTCTACTTTAACATTTTTGACCATTTCTGTTTATTTATAGCAATACTTTAGCAAACTTCCCGTTCGAAGTTCTTCATACTAACATTCATTCAAACTAAAATGAATATATATATATATATATATATGAATAAATTTATTTATTTCACCTTTATTCATCCATGCTTACTCTCAATCCATTAGGAAAGTTAATCATCCGTTCCTTCGTTCCTCTTTTAGATAGATATGTTCAAATTTCCAAATTTATCGCTACATTTTAGGTCGTTATTTTACTATTAAAAAAGATTGGAGGAATGAACAAACGAACGAACGAACAAACGAACGAATGAACGAACGAACGAACAAATGAAGAAAAGTGGAAAAGAGGAAATGTTTGAATAAGTTGTCAGCGTTATTTCTCTCGGGGATATGTTCTGTTCAAATTTTCAAATTTCCAAACTTGTTGCTTCACTATTGCAAATGTTTGGACGATAGAATAAAAAACTATCTACATTTAAAAACTATAAGATAAATTGTTGATATTTTTATTAAAAAAAAATATCATATCGATAAGTCATTCTTTTATTTGTTCATTCAGTCAAACATTTATTTGTTCATTCACTAATTCAGTTTTTCACTCATTCATTCATTATTTCAATCACTTGCATATATGTATACTTGTTCATTCAGTAGTTTATTCATTCATTCATTCATTCATTCATTCATTTATTCATTCATTCATTCATTCATTCATTCATTAATTCATTCAATCATTCATTCATTCATTCACTTTTTGTTCCTCTAACCAGGTTGTTGAAGGGACAAGCCATGCAGCGAGCATTTTATTACGACATTACCTTAGTCGGCAATACCAGTTCCTTTTCAATTGCTTCCATTTTAAACTCATTCATCCTTACCTTCCTCATCATCATCGTCATCGTCATCATCTTCGTCGTCGTCATCGTCAGCAGCATTTTTATCAACCTCCCAATGAGCATTTTTATCGCTCTAATGTTATCATCATCTTTGTCATCACCAACAATGGCATCATCATCATCAACATCATCATCGTCGTCGTCATTGTCGCCATCATCAGTGACATCACCAACACTAACAATAACATCATCATCATCAGCTTCATTTTATTATCTCAAAATGCCAAGGTACGTGTGTGTTTGTATGCCGAAGAAAGGGTAATAAACGCTACAGTGACAGTGGTGATGATGATGATGCTGATGATGATAACGACGACGACGACGATGATGACGATGATGATAATAATGATGATGATGAGGAGGATAAAGATGACAATGATGATGATGATGAGGATGATGTTGATGACAACGATGAGTATGATGTTGATGACTATACCATTGAAATTGCGTCAGAGTAGAAATTAAAAAAAACCTGCCGTGATGATGGATGTAAGAACGCTGATTTATAAAATTCACCCAAAAATTCACCCAATGACCATTCAAATGTGTTTGATGTTCAGAATGGTATTGTCTTTATGGCTTCACTTTCTGCATTGGATTGTCTTAAGACTTTACTCTTCTGAGTATAAAACCTTTTTTTTGATACATACATAAACAGCAGATTATTTGCCGTGTGTGTGTGTGTGTGCGTGTGCGTGCGTGTGTGTGTGTATGTGTGTGTGTCCGTGTGTGTGTGGTGTGTGTGTTTGTTTATTTACTTATGCATATTATATTTATCGTAAGTATTCTTTTATAAAATCTGCGAATATATGAATCAGTAAATCAATCAGTCAGTCAATCAATCAATCAATCAAACAAACAATCAGTGAGTCAGTCAATCAATCAATCAATTAAGAATGAATGTTTTTGTATAAAGAAAAAACAAAGAAAAAAAGGAATAAAAAGATGGAAAGATAGAATTAGTTGGATGGACATTGC